AAAACCGGCACACGAAAGTGCATGGTTAATGGTTGTTCAAACTGAACTTGCACGGAATACAGAAGGGTTGTTATCTGCAAACTCTGAAAATTCTGTGGAGGTTCTCCGATGAACAATTCCTTTCACTCATCATCTTGATCCTAGTAACGTGAAACGGTTTGTTTTTCTGTATACAGTTCGACGCACTTTTACGATAAAATGATCAAAGCTTCTCAAACGAACACGTTCCGGGACTTTGAAAATTGCGGTCTATTTTTGACAACGAAGTCTAGTCATGCATCGATCCTGGTGAGAAATTGTGTGAACTTTTGTTGACCCAATATGGTGAGGATAGTTATACCATGTTTGTTAAAATCACCAACAAATATACACAAAGAGTGGGTTGTTCGTGCTAGGATGGAGGTAGAAAAAATATCAGAAAACCCGTGGATGTCAAATATTGATGTGAGCGCCAGATTAATGTCCCCAGAGGTATGGAACGAAACCCACTCAAACAACGAGCCTTACATTCAATTTCGTGGCAACTGATTTTATCCGGTGAGTATTCGTAGATGATGGCAGTTGATTTAATCTTGTTTGTGTTAACGTACTTTGCAACATCTCCGCCTCGTTCACGGACGCTCGTGGGACGGTTATCACTATACAAATTATATCCATCCAATGGTACGATTTCGTCGGGAATATCTTCATGCAACCACCATTCCTGTGGCGTAATAATCCCAAGGTTTTCTTACTCCCTTTTTCGTCTGCCCAATCAGAGTGTGCATTTTTCTGGTACTGCACTGTTTGAAACTGACTTGCTAGCCCGTACAATAATTTTTCTTCCGCTGCTTCTTTGTGTTTTGATAACTCGCTCGAACTTATTTCTCATATTGCTGGTATAATTCATAAAAGCTGACTTTCGGGAGATAGCACAAAAAGATTTAATCGACGCTCTCTTAATGGATAGAATTTGTTGTCCTTGAAATGGATCACTATCCAAATGACGCGGTCGAATCCAAAGGCTCCGAAATAAGGTGCTCAAAACATATCCTACTCCGTTTTCGGGCAACTGAGTATTGCAATGACCCACAACACTTACTAGTTGGAAACTAGCATCCACCTCATCGTAATCGTAACTATCTTTCATTCGTAGAGTTTTGTATGGTTTCATAACCTAAACCCGTGTTTAATCAATAATAGTAGTCAAAGTCAAAGTTTTATTGAGCAAAGCGCTTCGGAGCTGTTGCTTTTCTTGTATCAGGCGATTGATCGGCAAGAGATAGATGGCGAAAAGCGCATAATTTCATTGTTTAATGTACTTTTATTGATGTCGAAAGATCTGCCGATGACTCATCCAGACTCTGCTTAGAGGAATCAGCTGTAGATGTAACGGATTTCAAGAACCCTTTATCATTGAGACTGTAGATTCTACCCCTTTATGCACTACGTTTCTATTCCAGTTCGATACCATACATACATACTGAATAACAACCGTGGTTCGATCACAGACCTTTTTAAATCTGTTTTCCTTGTCTTCCAATGTTTATTGGTGTTTGTCCATATTCTAACCTTTACGCACCGGTTAGACTTTGACCATTCAATTCACCGTTTGGCCAGTCTAATCATGACTTTCCATCTGTCATATATTTATACTGTATTTCTTTATAGAGCCGAGCTCAATATTATTACAGCCTTTTCTCTGCCGAGACCGTGTGTTTAGACTGGATTTGTAGGACCAGCCGTTTATTATAAGCTGTCGTGTTATATTTCGTTATACTGGTACCATTACTCCTTCATCGCTCATTTCCGGCTCAAAACTATTGGTCGTATATCCATCTTAGAATCCGATGGTGGTAGTTAATAATTCCGTCCATCGTTGTTTCCAATCTCGTCAGTTACTGCGGATGCGGAAACTGTTGTAACCATATGGATTTATCTCGATATTGTATTCTGCAATGATCGTACTCTAGAATGGTAACTTGTCCAGATAGCAATTTTTCAGGCAGTGAAATGGAATTGTGTACAAATCCATGTATTATGCAAAATTAATGGCAATTTATAGGTGAGCTGGAGGGCACAGGAACTCATGTATCAATACGATTGGTTGACTGGATAGTTGCCGACTTTCTTTGTTGGTCGTTGGTTCCGAACAGTCACCTGAGTTCTGCTATCCTTGTTCTGATTGAGTTTCACAGAACAAGGCAGCTTTTCAGAGAGAAAATGCCTTCTTCGTGAGTGAAACACCGTGAGCTTGTAAAAAGTTCCTAATGTTTTACTCTCGGAGGGCAAAGTTAATGACCCTGGAATTCCCATCGAAATTTTCTAAGCACTAGCTTGAATGGATACCCGCTTGACGTGGATGGTGGCCGATAAGGTGAACAGTGGATAACATGTATGGCCAGTTTTCTGTAGTCTTCTCGAATTCAGCGATACTGAGTGAATTACAATCCCGGCTATTACTGCCTTTTTGCATAGGTTTTGCAATGCAGTCCCTTAAACATCCTGTAGGCTATTCTTTTTGGACTTTCCAAAACCTGGCGATAGAGTTGTACCCATAGATTCTAGGTTTGGATGGCTTACTAAAAGCGGGATCGAACGCAGGCTGATAAAAAACCTGGAGCAATTAATCGAACAGTTTAGTTCGTGTTGAACGATGATATCATGATCCTTCCTATTAGTGGCGTATGAAGGTTATTAATGTTAAAGGAGGTATGGAAAAAGATTTTTGTGGCGTGGTGATATTACGTATATTTCGGTGCGTTCAGTTCGATGTTCGCTCCTACCTACTACTAGTGATTTTGGTTGAGTGTTCTCCGAAGTGGTAGTGAACCATCAGTTTTCGTAACTGCATTCCTGATTTTGGCATAAAGTACAAAACATTATTTCTCTGGTCTAAGAACGTCCGGTAGATAAAAAATAGAAAAAGCACGGATCCATGTGGAACCCCGCGCGACACGTTAATAAGACCACATAGTGACCTAGAAACTCAAACTGACATGTTATATTTAAGAAGGAGCTCCTCTATCCAATCCAATACCCACCCCCGAATTCCGTAATTATAAAGTTTCCGCAACAATATTTCGTGGATCACACGATCAGATAATTTGGAAAAGTCACAGTTTACTTCGTCCACTATTTTACCACGGCCAACTGCTTTTCTCTATTCCTCCTAGGCTGGAAGTAAATTTGTGGTACACAGTTTCTTGTGCCGAA